GAAATCGTCACTTGAAAGAAATCAGCCCTGATGGCACTTGTTCAGAAGAAGACATGATATATGCCACCAATGCAACGACAAAATCTGTAGATGAACATGACATGATGACCATACTCAGATCTACCTGGTAACGTAGAAAATCAACTCAGTGTAATAAACTAAGTTTATAATGTTTATTATTTTTCATGGCTTTTGATTGTTTCTTGTATAAGGATAACTCAAGATTTGTCTACGTATAAACATAAACTACGTTAGAAAATATTTTTTTCTGTGAAAAGGAATAAAAAAAATACATAGTGATGTACCTAATTGTTTATGAACTGTAACTTTTAAATAAATAGTTATTGATTAACATTGAAAGTGAATTATTGTGACAGATACATAAGGATAAGTATATTCTATAGATACTAAAGTGTTACGATTAATTATTGATAATTATAGATTAGTGATTATTTACGTATAATACCTATTGTGTATTCCTGTTTACTTAGTAATACCTTGACATACTTAGAACTGAAGCAGAAAGGGATAATAAAATAATAATAAAATTTTATTGATAGAAGAAAGAAACAATTTATTCGTGGACGTAAGAACACACACAACAGTCACAATATAAGGGTAACTTAATACTAGACTTAAGCGCAAATACATTTTTACCTCACGTGCCAGTCGAATAGGACCTGGGCCTCAATTCTGCTATTTTATGTTCACGCCAAGCCACTGTCATACCACTGACACGCTATTGAGATGCCATCGAGTGGCCATTGGCATCGGTATAAATATCGGTAGTCTACACTAACTCAGTGTCTTTACAGTGGCGATGGAATGGCAGTGGCTCATCAGTGGTGATATCAAAGGTTGCCATATTTGGAAAAATAAATAAATCATTTCCTTATAATTTGAAAATGTATTACGTTTTTTTTAATTTTGGTCCATAAAGTTGTAATGGATTTATCATATTTATTGATACAAATGTATAAACTACAACGACAAAATACACCGTAATTAATAGAATTATCATTGCTGTTTTTGTTGTTGTTTAGGTAGTGTAGACTACCGATATTTATACCGATGCCAATGGCATCTCGATGGCATGAACATAAAATAGCAGAATTGAGGCCCTGGTTCAGCGTCTGCTTGACAGATGTCAAGCGCTGGTTTTCAACGAGATCTTTTAATGAGTGACGGACGTAAATCGGCCTATGCAATAACAAGAAATTAAATAGTTATAAGATAATATGAACTATACTTTAAAGAAGCAAAAGATATTATTATTAAATTAGCATAAATAATAATATAAAATATACTCAACTATTGGTAAAACCATTGTTACAATACATTAGGACCCTGATTCCCGTGGTTTTTTTTAAAGACAACTCCCGCATTAGGAATATATCCTGTGTCGCGGGGGACTTTACAAAGATCAACATCACCGGCTGTTACGACTACCGGTATTTACAACCAAATATGAGTGGTCCCTTCGTTTCGTTATAACAGATTTCGACTGTATTTATTTATTTTTAAAAAGCATTCCTCCATTTTGAATATACATATATTATATCCTGTGTCGCGGGAAAGTTTACAAATACACATGAAACGGGCACAAGGAACACCCAGACTCAGAACAACGATTAGTGGATAACAGAAAGTGTCGTCCCATGTGGGGATCGGACCCACAACACTTAGCGTAGTATAAAGCGGCGTGGCGACCGCTTAAACCACTATGCCATCCTGCAGTCACGGTTACAGGTGCAGTAAAAATTAGAGAAAAAGTTGCTTGAATTTAAATTGCCGGTGTACCTATTATTTATTACAATCAATTAGGTCAATTTTTGCGAATTACATAAGCTGATATCTCAAACCTCTGTTTATCTTCGAACCCAGGCCATTTGATAAAAAAACGTACTTACATTGAAATATAAGTACGAGTAATATCGATAAAAGTAACTTGGCCTTAACAACCCTAAAACTAATATTAGCTAAGTTGCGTCAATAACTTACTGAACTTAAGATCCTCACACATAAAAGTAATAAATTTCAGTCAATCCCATTACAATAAGGTCGATTTACCACTATTTAAAATTACGTTATTATTTCCGTGTAATTTCCGTAACACGCTATGCAACAATTTCAATTCGCATCACCAAAAAATAACTCATTTTCAGTCTGTTCTAAGTTACACAGATCCAAACAACAGATGGCGTTAGTGGTACCAACTACAAGTCCTAAAACTAATTGGCCCGCCTAGTAACAACAAACAATCAATGTTTACCAATTCTTTCTAATTTGATTTTCGTTTATAATGCTTCGCAATTCACTTTTAATATTCCTACTCCATTTGGGATCAATGAAATGAACATAAAAAAAGGGTTTTCGTGTTCGCATAAACAGTTTTTCTAATTCAAATTTAGCTACGAGTATTTATCGCCGATTGATGTCGTATAGGCATCGAATATAAATGTTTTCTAGACATTGATGTGCATGTGTCGATAACTAAGAGCCCCAGTATCGACATCGGTCACGACTGTTGTATAATCATGTCGTTTGCGGTTAGAAAGTGAAATAAACCCTTGTTTCAGTATAAAATTAACTATTGCACAAATTGCGAGATTTCAACGACTTTGATGTTATTATGGCTTATTAGCCGTTGCAGTACCTACTTATAAAATGGCTTCTATCCGTTTCTAGTTGGCATTAAATGCTGTTTTATTGTGAAATAGTCCTTTTGGAATTATTGCGAATGTTTTAACTGAAATACTTTTAGTTGATTTCGGTGCGAAACAAATCAATACGCGAATCATTAGCGGGCACAACAAGGCTGTATAATTCTTAAGTTACAAGTTGGGTTTTAGTTTGCTTTTCCTACGAATCGGCATCTAAATTCAGCTGTTTCTTGATGCACGCTATACTTAACCTTATTTCTGGGTGAGTAGCTTTTATAATTGTATGAACTTTTCTAGTCAATTTCTCGCGATGAACCAATTTCTCTGGATTTAATGAACAAATGCCTCTCTCTATTTTTGGTCGAAATGAACCGTATTCGAATAAAATCGTTAATATACCAATTAAATTGTGAAAAACATGGTACCGTTTGGGTGATTGCTTCACAGTATATTAAAAAAATGAGTTCATACCTTAATCGAAGGTATCTTGCCTACCTAATATATGCGTACATTTATAAGCTAATAATCTAGTCTGAAAGTTTAAAGATGGGATCATCACGATATAAAAGCAATTTAGATTTATAGCCGTGAGCGAATACAGTAATCGCACTAAAACTAATATTAAAGCTGTTTTTTTTTTTTATAACTTCACACATCTCACACACGGCAGTCTGATCCCGAACTAGGCAGAGCCTGTGCTATGGTAACCAGACTATTGATAAACATACTTATATGTTTTTAAATAGATACATATTATAGATAAATTACACCCAGACACAGAACAAATGACCGTGCTCATCACACAATATTTGTCCTGGGTGGGAATCGAACCCACGACCGACTTAGCAGTCAGGGCCACTAACCACTAGACCAACAGGCCAGTCAAGTATTATCTCATACATCAAAACTATTTGGCACCGTCCACAAATGCACTATATCAGAGCTTTATCTCCAATCTTCATAATCAAGGATTGGTCTTCATATGCATGGTGAGGCGGTACATGTAGAAAACTGTGCAAACAGGTCTTGTTACTAATTGTAGAAAAAACTCGAGTATGGGGTTGCATCAATCTCTAATAGGAACCGGTTCGAAACGGCCCACAACCGGTCCCGACCACAGTCTCATTAAAATATTGCTTCGCCTGTCAGCTTGTTTTTACCAAGTTCAAATTTATGGTAATGTATGGAAATTATATTTTGTGGTTTTCTTTTTATTGTCTTTTGTGGAATATGTAATATTTTTATCAGGCAGTGTGTTAACTGCGTGTGTATGGGTATGTAGTGGGATGAAGGCTGCTTCAGACATCTCTGTGTGTAAGTATTGGAAGGGAAGGGAAGGGAAGTGAAACAATATAAAATAAATTTTGAAACTATGTATTTTTTTTTCTTCAATATTTCTACATTTTCTTTTTTTACGGTCTATCAAATAAATATCAATTATAAACAATTGATACATTAATTATTATTGTTAGTTTTGTATATGTCGACATTTCAAGTTTTAGAAGTAAAATGTTTTTGTAGCTTTTTAAAAACTTTTTTATTATGATGAAAGTGAACTCTAGTACTATGATATTGTGCGTTCGAAACACTGGACCCTACAAACATTTAGATTTCGTTTAAAAACGGTTAGTCTGTTGATTTACATTTAATGTAGTAATTACACTGGATGAAGAAAATGCATTCTGCAACATTAACATCTCGTCATTTACATGTACTGTTAGTACAAAAGTATCTCTTATCATCCACTGACGCAGCTTCGCGTGGCGATACAAAATAATCTTACAAAAAATTTCATTTTATGTTAACTTAAATAACTTAATACTTTTAATAACTATCAATAATATAACCTGAGATCTTTTCTTCTGCAGTGCGAGGGGCGGGGCCTCGCCTCGCACGTCATTATTGCGTCCCTACGTCACCGCTCTATGATACACATCTCTAATATTTATAAATCTGCATTCATGATTTTCACATTCATAAAAAGTAATATTTTTCTCGCATTTAAATTTTATACATTACAAAAGTAGTATCACAAACAAATGTACAAACTAGTACAATTACGAAAACGTACACATATCGGACCTCTACAGAGATCGCCTCTAATAAATACAGTTACGATACATGAAAATACGAACTCTACACAACTTCAGAATAGAATTGAACTCGAAACAAAAAATAATACCTAAGACTAAATCGTTCAGGGTATCATTATCACACGCGCGGCGGCGACTGAGATCATGGGGGCGCACGGACGCCACCGCGCCGCTCACGCGAACAACCACCACGACTCACAATCATTAAAACATTCAATAATAAAATACGAACAATGATCATACAATGATTAACATAAGTACGGGCGGCGCGGGAGGCGGGCGCAGCGGTGGGCACACGGACAAACTGCTGGACGTCAGGATCGAGGATCGAGGGTCACGGACAGAAGTGGAGGGTAGCGAGATCGACGCCCGCCTCCGCGTGCCGCCACACGCGCGCGCCCTGCGCCGCCAGCACCGTCGATGCGCGACCGAATATCGACACTTTATCGAGATAAAGCGCATTTCGCGTCACTATCGACCGTGCCCGCGGAGCGACAGGCGCCCGCGCAACTAAAAATCTGCGCTCTTCCGCGCGCTTATACTACAACTATACGTTACATATCACGCTGTGCTTTTTTCTCTTATTAAAAATATATAATAATTAATATAATATATAATAATATGATATTTGTTAAAATAACGATACGTAGATATCGAGGAGGGCTGTCAGTCGGCTCGCTCGCATCACGCGCTACTCACAGGCCACTTCATTCGGCCTGGCTCCTGAACAATTTTTTCTTTTCTATCGTGAACTGTGGGCTGATGATGATGGTGCCGCCTCGCGTTAAGTTTCTGCAACAAAAGAGAAGAGCCGTTAGCAGCGCTCGCTGTTGCCGTGCTAACGCAACGCCCACCAATGACACGTCCGTGTGACTGGTGCGGTGACAGAGCTCAACTTACTTTAAGAATTGCGGCAACAGGCTGGTCCAGTTCGTGGCGTCGTGTTCCAGATGTAAATGTATTTCGTGTGTGGTTAATGTGTTGGGGTCTATTTTGAAAGCTGCTAATCTTCTGCCCGCGACGTCGACGATGACGGCCGTACCCCGAGACCCGTAAGGCTCTCCCTCGGCCAGCGCGAGAGTTTGTCTCGATGCCCTGGCGAGTAATTCAGCTGGGACTAAGACCTCGGCGGTGGCCAATTCGCTGGCCGCCTTGGCTGCTCGTAATTCTCTCTCGAGCCTCTGAGCCAGCGCCGCTTCCGTCGGCACCGGGACCGGCGCTTCCCGCCATGTAGGCCCATTCCAAGCTGTAACAAAGGAGATTTATGTTTAGATTTATAGTCTTATAGGGTTTAAAAACTTAAGTACCAATTCCTATTGGGAAAATTCTAAGTTGAAAAACTTACAAGAATAGAAGATTAAATGTAAAAGGTTTCATTCAACATCAATTAATAATTCAAAATGTAATTGAAATGAGTGGTGGTGCGCAAACAAGGGCGAGCGCTACGGCGCATCGAAACAGCTGACACGTCAGCTGTGATTGACGTTTGGGCCCCGGGCCGCTCTCGGCCGCGGGGTTCACCGGCAGTGGTGGCAATGCTGTAGCGAATCAAGTAGATTGAGATGGTTCATCGTGCAGCCCTGAGCACTGAGAGCCTCGCGCTCTGGCGGCTGCGCGCGCCGCATAGCAACAACCGTCAGACAGTTAGAAAGCCACTTCCCTACCTCGCTCACTTCGAATAGAAAGTCAACTCACCTTTTTCGCTATTGAATCCGACAAACTGATTCGTGACCGGCAGGATCTCCATGTTTTCCAAATTTTTACTTATATTGTACACTTTTAAAACGACAAAAAATTAAAGCGTTCCGCTGCGGAACTTAATATTACTAGAAAAATATCACAAGTCTCTTTTGTACTGCGAATGCGCACTGAACAACCGGCTTGACACTACCGGCGACTAGTTATCATGGAGAGATCGATGGGAAATTGATAAAACGTCCTAAGCTCACGACTGCATCAGATCTGATCTCGTAACCATAGGGCTTCGTCACTCGCCCAAGGCTCACTGTTTGACCCACCCAACCCTGTCGCTCTCTGTGATGGACTGGCGATATCGGAAAACTCTAGCACTTTATATAGAAAGCCGAGGCCGGGGGTGCGGGGGGACGCTCCGCGGACGGCAGAGGGGGCCCCGCCCGCCAGTTGCGCCGGGTCGCGGTCAAAGTCGGTCGTCTTCGCGCCGCTCCGCACCGGCTTTTGTACCTAGCCGGCCGGCTTCTTTGTTCGGGTCCCGTCGATGGGACATCTCGGGTTTATCCATCCAACTAGAAAGTGTTATTTCAAATACGAACAATATTTACGTGTAATAAGTTTCTAGTATATTTTTTTTTGTTTTGAATTTAGAAATTGCTAGAAATATAATTTGTAGATGTTATAATAGTCGTAAGTTTAAGTCTGAAAAATGGAATCTGTTTCAGCAAACAGCTTAACAAAGTTCTAGAACATAAGTTAAGACTTTCTTTCGATAGGTTTTTATTTGCTGTATAGTGAATATATGTGTGTATTGTATTGTTTAATGTAATAGTTTGTAATTTTTGTGAGTAGGTAAGTAAATTTTTGTAAATATCCATAGTGGGTTTTACACACCTCTGTAACAGTAGGTAAATTTCCAGTGTAAGTTGTTAAATTTATTTATTTATTAATTACTTTAGTATTTTTGTGATCTATATCTTTTTTGTTTTTTATATATTGAACTGATATTCATTTATCTGCAGATAAAGAATTATGGTTCGATTAGGTAATATTGTTTTTCTATAATTTAGTCTGTTACAAGCTATCGCACATTCAATATTTGATTTTAAAAAGTAATTTAATTCAAAACTAACCTGAAAGACCACCACTTGTAAGCAACTAAGTACATGAGACTTAAAAAATCGTACCAAATAAGTTTGTTAAAAATATATTTAGGTGATAAATAGTCTTATTAAAGGTCAAAAGATATGTATAAAAATTAATCTTCCCTGCCTTCTAAAATTAAAAGTAGCATCCATCATAAAACTAAGAACAAAAATCAACATCCATTTTAAACAGCCTCAATATCACCGTATCACTCCAACAAAACAGTCAGTGATAAACTTCTTACCAAGATAATATTATACAAACAACTTATAAAGAAAAAAATAAATGAATGGTTTGCTCAAATCGTTCAGTTCGCTAAAGAAATCACAAAAGCTGGTTGGTTTGACTATGTCATGTATGTTAATGAAAATGGAAGAGTTGAGTTGAATTTTAAACCATCGAAAATCTGTTTAAAATCCAGTGGCGTAAGAACGCTACGTGACTATCGGACAAACCAGGCATAGACAATAGAACAACATGATTTACAAGCCGACTAGTGAAATAAGACAAGAATCGAATAGCATAAATTACGAAAAGAAAATATGATTCGGGCTGTTAATTGAGGAATTTCATTGAAGGTTTATATTAACCTGATTTAAAAAAAACATTGATGTAATTTCATTTAAAATTGCATCAGCCAAATGTTGTCTAGAACTTTCTCTTGCAAAATGTGTTTTACGTGCTGTTAGAAGTCGTTTATCTTTGCTTAGTGACATTTTCTCCCAACTCATAAATTGCATTCAAAAATTGTTTATAAAACCAAAACATTAAAACGTATGTTGATGTAGTATATATTGTAAATAACGATTGATTTCTTTATCGTGAGTCTTATCGTAATCGTAAACGTTTTGCATACTTAATGACAAACATTTCTCTACAATAATCGGCTTCAACCGATTCTACATCAGAAAAAGTAGGTAGAAGCAAAAACATGATTAACTGGCTATCAGTAAAGAAAACTCTACGAAGAGCTACAAAAACAAATCGATAAAAAAGAAATGGTGAAAAAAAATTGGCCGTGTTGCCAAGCAGCGCCGGCCGGCGTGTTGGCCTTGGACTAACATGAGTCACGATTGACAAGCGAATCGAATCGCTCATGTCCCTAACTCGTTCATGTTCGTGACTATAACTCCCATCTTTATTACTTTAATTACGATTCATATCTAATCAAAGTTCACGGGTTAATTTGGGTTTGTTTATGTTTGTACGAACAGGTTCTGTCATCTCTAAGTACCTTTCCTTTTCATGCAGTTCCACCACTAATGCGTTTTTACCCTAAATTTTGTTTCTGAAGCTGGTAACTCTCAGTACATTTTTTCTAGTTACATAAGTGCAATGTTGTCCCAATAATTTTTTTATCTTCATTATGAATAATAAATGAGCACATAAAGTAATTATTATCAGCACTCCTTCCGCGCGTAATTTATCTTCATGCCTAATGTAAATAAATACTAAAGACTTGAGTTCAATATGAATTGGCGATAATTATGTAATTGTTTAAACAAACGTGCAGATTGTATACCACTATATGTATATTGTGCATTGATTTCTTTAACTACTCATTTATAAGATAACGTTATATCGTTCAATTGTTGAAAATTGACAATGTCGCCATTTTGAATTTATGTATGGTTTCGACTTAAAAAATCTTTAATATGTAGGAAATTTTTTTTTCATTCATATGAAAGAGAATATTCTAACATTTTCTAATTAGAATCCGATTTTTTTTTTGCCGAAGAATTCCACAAAGAGAGGACATTTTAATTATATAAGTCCAGTTTCTAACATGTAATTACTACACGCATAAAAATAACATATTCTATAAAAAAAAAGAAACGAACAAGTGAAATCTTAAAGAAATGCGATAAAGGAAATTCAATGTTAAAAATAAGATTATACGAAGACCCAACGGAAATTAAAAGTGAGACCAACCTGCCGTCAGATTGCGTCGCCGCACAATACACTCCTTATTCCCGTCTTGCTCTTGGAATCCCTTCAACAAAGGAACAATAGAGAACCTAGCAACCTTCCCCTTGTATCATACGCATGTTCCAACCTGTTCAATCTTGTACCTATACTTAGTGAACTATAAATACAAGTTGTATAATTGTAAATGTTATAATAATTTATAAAAACATAATTAAAGCCACAAAAATGTAAATAGAATGAAAAATAAAACCATCGAGTGTATCTATGCATATTTATTGTTCTTTGTGTTGAGACGTTTGTCCAACGTGTGTGTAACTCGGCGTTAGTCACATAACACAGTTTGTAAATAAAATGTTCGGTATCAACAACATTTTCATTTGGCCGGGGTTTCGTGTCATTAATACGTCCAATATTTGTTGTAATCAGTAGTCAACTCGCGCAAACTTCATGCCGAGTTTAGGTTTACTTATTAACAATTTTAATTCATCCATGTTTATGTTGGGGTATATATTGCACGTGTCTATCTGTACAATGCTTGTTTTACGCTACAAGTTGGCCTTGGCAGCGTTTAAATATATCTGAAGACAAATATTGTTTGTGCCGATAAATATCGTACTCATAATTCTTTATTTACTTACTTTGTGTTCTTTGTTGTATCAAGATTGCAGCAACACTGTTTTATTTCTTCTCAATTCATCATTATTCAACAGGTTTATTGTTCAATTAAAATGTGTAAATAAACGGTTGTTATAAAACATTTTTTGTGTTTTTTTTTGCATTTCGTCAATTACGACGGCCGATAACGGCAGAACAATGCCTTTATGAGATACAGTGTCTACTTCAACACTGTTCATCTTCGAGACATAAACCTACTCGATTGAAAACCTTCGTGAAAAGTATTCATGTTTTAAAGATACACGATTTTACCGTAACGCCCGAAACCGTCGGAACGCATCAATTCTTAAAAAAGAGCCTCCATCATGTCCGAAACTACCTTAAAATCGCATATCTCTATGACATATAGAAGAAGGCCAAAAAGCTGACATTAAAAAGATAGTAGAAAGCCTTTCTATACATAAAAGTAAATTTAACAAAATACGTAGACTTAATGAGTTTATTAGACACGGGATATTTACCATGTTTATTTTGCGGGAATCACTTCTATAGTTAACCAGTGATCATGGGGCTTGCAACAGTGCCGTAATATTGGAAACTGATTCCCGAAATTGAACATGTAAATATCTCAACTGAAAATGACCATGGGTTTAAATCAATGGATAGACTTACACTTGTATCAGTCTTTGTTACATTCTAACCTGCACTAAAAAAGCAGTTTGGAGCCGCATTTGCACTGCAAATGGGTTCGATTCTCACAGTGGACACAAGTTTATGTTATTCACAAGTAGTTTTCTCAAGTCTGTATGTTCTTTGAGTAAGTTGTTTTTAAATTGTAGACAACAGCAATCTATTCCCCAATTTCCGTTGAATATTGGGAATAATTTGTTAAATTAAATCAAATTCGACGAAGTCAATTCGAGTCTACGGATTGAATTTAGCTATTTTATCTACACATATACAAATCAAGGCAAAGGACAAAAAGAAAAATTAACAAAACAGACATGTATGTCCGTTTAAAGAAAAGTTAACATCACCTTTTGCCATTAACTTTTATAAAATATGCTAATATAATACACATGAAATTTTAAATAGGCATCAGAGATACAGCAAATGATCTCATTCATCTAAAACAAAATGTTCGAAAGATATGGAAAAAATACTATGTATTACATCAGCGAATCCGCGAGCATAAGCTAGTTTATTATTATAACATACTCATTTAGTGGAATTCTGGTGTAGAATAGAATCACCAGTGCATAACACCTGTTTAGCTAAGAAAACCTAATACAATACAAATAATAAATTCAATCTTGACTGGTGGAAGAGCTACAGTAGCAGACTCAGTGAGAAACCTGTTGGAGG